AAATAGTCTTAGAGAAGTTCAGGAACTCACATTGGGTCACACAGAAGCCAGGAGTAAATAATGAAACTAGTGTCTAGGTCATTTGACTCACCAGCCAAGTTCTACCGTAAGATCAGACAGCTATTAGAAAACTGACACTCAGAATTGCAGATGGTGATAGTTTAGCCATTAGATGTATTTTTTAATCACTAGAAAAATCAGTTAAGTTTGGAGAAAACATCGGAGACATATTTTCTCTAATTAAAAAATTCTAATAGAAATTTTCATATGTTAAAAACTTTTGAAAGAAAATAGAAAACATACACACGTTTATTGACAAAAAGTGAATACTTTCAAATGTATTCTGTACTATGAGGCAAAATGACCGGGTTTAGATCATCAGGGCCAGCATATCTTTTGAGAGTGAGCCAACAGATTTGGTGTCAACAAGGGATCATTGCTGAAGCTTGATTCCAACCAGCCTGATGTTCCAACTTTAATTATACAGTTGACCCCTGAACAGTGTGGGGTTAGGGGTACCAACCCTCCATGTGGTTGAAAATCTGTGTATAATTTACACTGGGCTCTCAGTAACCACCTTTCCTCTGTATCCGTGATTCTGCTTCTGTGGAGTCAACCAACTGTGGGTCATTTAGTACCATGTATAGTAGGAACTACTGGAAAAAAATCCATGCGTAAGTGGACTCGTACAGTTCAAACCTATGTTTTTTAAGAGTCAACTGTACTTCATTTAGATCCATTTGAAAAGTAGCCTAGAAAATAGAGAAATGAGATTTAACCATATGCTGAAATCCTCCTTTTACACTTGGAAGCACAACAAATGCACTTTTCCAGGCTTATGAAGTAACCCTCTAGCATCATTGATTTTTGAGTCTTACAAAAAGCTCTTCGGCTTGTGCCCGCATCACAGATTTACACTGCCATAACTCCTGTCAGACATCATCTTGGCTTTATGAATAAATAAAACTATGCTCTAGGGAAACACTGATTTAAGAGGAAAAATCAATACCCATCTAGCATGTGATAGACTTGAGCTTTAAGGCTACTTATCCCCCGAGTACAATGCAATCCTAAATGTAAAACCATACTTTTTTGCCTCCTAAGTAAAAGGAGGGTGAAGGTGTGTGAAATTGGCAGGCAAGTGTCTGCCTTCCATAGTCCTCAGTGTGCCAGGAACTCCCTTCCCTTTACAAAGCAGTTAGCCTCTGCCTCCAAAAGGAAAGCGCAAGGGAAAGAAGGAAAAAAAAAGAGATGGACCAACCAAAGATGGCAAAATCTGGATAATCTGTGAATTTAGGTTGTGAGTGTGTGAGAACTCACTGTAGTATTAATTCTCTCACGGATGCAAAATTTTTCATAATAGGAATCTGAAAAGTATGTACGTTTGCTAGAAGGAAACTCTATAAGGCTGATACTGACCAAGATGGAGAAGCTTTTCTTTCTTCCTTGGGAGTTTTATATTTTCCAGATTTCTGTAGTGAATATATATATATATATATATATATATATATATATATATATATACTGCTTTTATAACTCAGAAAAGACACACACAATAAATGCAAGGCAGAAGAGCCAAAAAAAAAAAAAGGGTTAATTAGAGTGACTGCAAGTATTTTGTGGACTACTGGCCTAGAGGTAGCGTACACACCACAACACACATTTATATTCAACTCTTTCTTACCGCTCTTGGACATTTCTTCAGGGCACAAACAGGTTGCTGTTAAAATTGATTTTAAAAATAAAGGGAACAGCGTACGCTGAGATTAACCTCGTCTCTGTGAGCCAAAGATCAAACAAGAGACAGAAGCTGGCTGAAGTCATTATTACTTCCTAAGCTCTGCAATTCTGCAATCACCTTACAGCCTAGGCCTATATTCACAGTGGAGACGACGTAAAAGTTCTGACAGGTCAGGGGAGGGTAGAGCTCAGTGGTAGAGGATGTGCTTGGCTTGCAAGCGATCCTGGGTTCAATCCCCAGTGCCTCTGTTAAGGGAAAAAAATTAAAGCCAAGGCTTTTGCTTTCTTGCTCAGAATTGGTTGGGATTAGACATGAATTCCGTTATGTTTCCCCAGCTCCTCGAAGATGCAGTTCATTGTTAATTGTGTTAACTGTGGCCTCTCAAAAAACACACTCGTCTGCTGATGTGGATTAGGGCTCACGTCCCAGCAGACAGTTACTGATGCTGCCTGTCCTCCTGGCTTGTCTCTCTGGTAAGTGGAAAGGACAACTTGGGAAATCTGAAACGTGCTTTCCAGCCACAGACACATTGGAAGACTGGAAATGGGTTGAGGTAATCTAAATTTTGAATCCCAAATTCAAACATCATAAAACAAACGACTATCATCCCCAGAGTTGGTGAGGATATTGGCTGAATCCAAGGTGGAAGTGATCGCAGTCACAAGTTCCAAAAGCATGCAGCCACCGTGTTAGTACTGATAGCAGCCCAGGCGGGAAAGGGGCCGTTAATTGGTTTTGGCGGTTCTTCTTGGATACTAAAAGCAAAACAGAATAGCAAAACAGCATTGTGGAGAAAAATGCTTGTATGTAGCCAGAGAAAAGCACAGCTTGAGATTCCTTTTTTACAAATGCTATCTTATTTTTTTATTACAGTTTCAGAGGGACACTCATTTAAAGAAATCAGAGCATCCTTTGTGTACTACTATGTGCAAGGCATTTATTAGATGTTGTAGACACACACACAAAAAAAGATCTGAATCTTACCCTTAAGCTTAGTATCTATGGGAGGGTCAGGAATAGAAGCAGATAATTAAATACAGCATGATCAGATATATAACTGAAGAACTGTGGAAGCCCCGTATGCATGGGGATGTGGGGAAATCAGGGAAGGCTTCTCAGAGGAGATGGAAATTGAGGTGGATCTTGAAGGATGTACTGGAATTTATCAAGAAAAAATGAGCAGGGGCATTCTCAGAAGTGAGAACAACACATGCAAAGGCATATGTACCTGAAAGGAAAGGATGTGTTGGAATATCCCGAGACATTCAATCCTAATGAAGCACAGACAGCAAGGCAGGGAGGTCCACACCAAGGCGTCTGGATCTATTCTCAAGGTGACAGGTACCACAGAAGTCACTGAACGGGAAATCGCATTACAAATTAGGGAGCAGGGTACCTAGCGTGGGGACAGTCTGTTGGAAGAGAGCTCTGTTAGCTCCAGCAACAGACCAGCACAGAGCTGATGAGGGTCCGATCTAATATAGTGACAGCGGGAAGCAGAGGAGAGTAAGACTGGAAAGATACTTACAATGAACATTTGTGACAGCTAGCAATTAATATTTAACCTCACCAAGCACCAGTCACTGTTTTGGAAACTTTCACATTATCTTAAATCTAGAATCTGGTGCAGACTGAATGCAAAGGGTGAAGCAATGTCAGGATGAAGTTTTCTGGCTTGAGTTACGAGGTAGACGGTGATACCTTTAATTAAAATATTGATTCCAAGAGAAGGAATCAGCTGGAAGCAGAAGATGAGTGAGGAGGGTGGGGAAGACAGTTTCACTGTATACAGATTAATTTTGATCACTGCTTGGGATATACGAATGAGGACAATCAAATGGAGTCAGGAATCCCACAGCGAGCAAAGTAGAAATTTCAGGTTAAATTTTTTTTAAAGGCATAAAAATATCCTCAAAGATTTAAGCCATCGACCACATACAAAAAAGCACACAATACAATGCTTTCTAGAAACTTAAGAGGACTGTGTGATTCCGCTACAGAATTATCTGAGACCTATTCTAAAATATATGGATTCTTGAGTTAAAATTTCATGCCCCCTACCTAGAAGATGTTCTGTGTTTCAGACCCACAGATAAAATGTGTAAGGAGAGCAGCTCTGGTGGAGAGGAAAGCGCATGAAGGAAAACAATATGAATCCCCGATAGGAGATTCTTGTCAAATGTCGCGAGATCAGAGGAAGGCATTTCTGGAGTGTGGATAATCAAAGCTCTTAATGCACTGATTCTTTATTCGAAGTTAACTAACAAAAGGCAGGCTGTTTTCCAGGCTCTGCGGTTATATTTAGAAAGACCTCCAAGGGGAACCCAAATGGCCTTGAAACAGCTCCCTGCTTTCCTAAGAGGAAAGGGTTCTTCTGGCAAGAGAAAGAACTTCTCAGCAAGTTAAAGGAAAGATTTAATTGAAAGACAGTGGCCTATTTTACAAGATTCCTTCTGTGAAGAGATTAGAAGCATTCAGGCCAGATGTACCCCAGCCCGTAAGAGGAACTGGATAATGACGTAAAATGGACAGGGGTCGGTCAGGTCACAGTGCGTGAGGTCTGTAAATCTTTCAAATGGGTGGCCAGGGCCCTTCAAAGTCCAGGATTCATTAGAAAAATGGATAACCATGTAGCAAGCTAATTGCTAAAATCAAATAAAGACTGTCTTTGTGTTAACTTGCTCATTTCGGTTGGCTGATTTTTTTTTTCTGGTTTTGGCTCCGTTCAAAGACAACCTAAGGTCATTAAAGAATTTTTATATAACTATTATTAGCACTAAATGAGATGACTAATACCACTGATGGTAATAATAGCAATAAAACTCAGCCTCATATTTTTTGTTGTTGTTGTTGTTGGTGGTGGTGGTGGTGAACACTGTTTGGAACTGGAAACCCATCAGGCTATCCAATTATAGTCTCCATCTCAAAGATGGGGAAAGAATTTGAGAGGGTAAGTATTTTGCCTAATTTCACACAGGCATTACAGGAAGAGCTAAGCTTGAGCCCATTGCTGAGCAAAGGAAAACACCATGTTGTACAAAGTTTGATGGGTGATGTCTTGGTCGCTAATTATGGCAGAAGCCCCACGGTGCTAACTTCAAAACTAATTAGCTAATACCCTTGAGATTCTTTAGCTTGACAGCTGTGTGTCTGCAGTCCGACAACTCTAAGCCCCTAAAGGTACTCAAATCCAAAGGTAAGCTGGAAGCAAACATGAATAAACAAGAGTGCAGAATAAATCAGATACATAAATGAATACCTTGCAGTCACTCTCCCAGCTCTGGAGTTGCACTCATCTGTTGAACTCAGAGAACGACCTCGTGTTTTCTGGAAAGGAAACACAAACAGGAAACAATTTCAAAACTCTGAACCAGGTGAAAACTGCAGTAACTAAAGGTAAAATGCTGATCTTTTCATTTGCTCGTAGAAGTTCTGAGCAACAAAGAGAGCATCTGAGAAACAATTATTTAATCAAGCTTTAGTACTTTAAAACCTTTAACACTGTAAAAAAATGGAAAAACAAAAGTTAAAACTTGCTTTTAAAATATTCAGACCTATACATTATCCCAAATTTTATATATGAAGGAAAGTAAAAATGATGGCATTCAGCACATGTGCTCTCAATGATGAACAATTATGCCCATGCTTTAGTTTTTTCCCCCTCATTCTTTGTTTCTTTATTCATTGCTTTATTCCACCTCTTCTCACAGGCACTGCAGACACCTATGGGTTAGCATCACACACCTGAAACATGGACCCTTCCAGTAGGCACTGTACTGTGGATTAAAACAAAAGCAAAAACGGTCACATGCCTCAAGAACGTGACAGCCTTATCAGAACAAAGTCGGAACAACGCTGTACAGAACTGTATGATAATTGTTATAGGAGACTGAGCCATATTGTTCTATGCCTTCATCCAGAAACATGCTGTCTTTTTGATATCATGGTTTCCTATGGTTAAGATAAAATTGTATCACTTACAAAGATCACTTCCTCCAAAAGGATATGTCATTCAAGCTTGAGGAATGTACTCTCAAATCTAATGTTCTATTTTGTAGACTGAATCTAAGAAAGCATCTTAAAATATGCTAACCGGAAGTAAAAAGCCTTGAGAGTGAAAGAATGAATGATCTCATAATTAGACAGAAAAAATATCCATTGAGGTAAACCAATGCAATTTTTTTTTCTTTTGGTAAAAGGTTTAAAAGGGAAAGAATGATCTATTTCTTAGAAAGAAATGAAACGCAAAGCAATGCTAGAAAGACCAAAGGGAAACAGTAAGTGGACAACAAGAAAGGCAGTGGTCCCTCCATGACCTGCTCCGTCAGACTCTCCAGAGGTCAGCAAGACGAGGGCTCCCCAGCCCCGTCCCACCTCATGGGCCCCCTGCCCTTGTGGTCTAAGCGCCTCCTGGACGGGAGCTGCAGGAGAAGAGTGAGTAGGTGCGGAGAGTTCCACGTCAGGAGAGGAGGTAAAGGGTGAAGACCACACCTGCCAAGAGTCTGCTTTCAACAAAGAAAGCCAATGGAAATTCTCTCCTCTTTGCCCTTTTCTGGGAAATTCCCCCCTCTAACTCCTAAGTGTTACAGCTCAGCAGCACCGTGGGTTCTGGAAGGTTTCCACGCCAGCCCGAAGCCCATCATTTATGAAAACGCATTTCAAGCTGTAAACAACTACGTCAGAAACAAGGGTCTGGGAAAAGCACCTGTTCAAAAATGGAGAAATAACTATTCTGAGATCCTGCTAAGTCTAATAAACACTTAAAATAGGTAAACAACAAGTTCATACTGTGTAGCACAGGGAACTATATTCAGTATCCTATAGTAACTAATGGTGAAAAAGAATATGAAAATGAACCTATGTGTGTATATGTATGACTGAAGCATTAGGCTGTACACCAGAAATTGACACATTGTAAATTGACTATACTTCAATAAATACACACACACACACACACACACACAGATGAAAACCCCACCACTCACTGATAACTGTCTATTCTACAAAAGCAAAGATGAAGAGGTGCAGTTCCAGCACCAAATTACCAATATAGATGACCCAGAGAGACGCAAGTAATAATAAAGTATGTTCCGGTGTGAGTAGTGTACAGAAGAGAGTGAGGGCCCCGGACGTACAGCTCTCCACGGCTCCTGGGATAAGACCGGAGCCACCTGGGATGGTCTGACCAGCTCCTCACCCGGGTGCCTGCCCGCCTGCCCAGAGTCACACTCATCGTCTGTCTCATCATCCCCACCTCCCACCCTGACTTCTCCACGCCTCTGCCACACTGTTTGCTTGTTTTGTTTTTTAAGAGGCTAAACAACTAATATAGAAAAGAGCATCTAATAAAGCACTTGCTTGTAAGCAGGAAACCAACTGCAGTGAGTGTCCACCTGGGCCAACCTCCAACTTGGCCCAACCTGGGCCCTGTCACAGCCTTCTCAATCTTCTCCTTCTTTTATTTCAAGTCCAGTGAAGAAATAAACTGTAAACACTTGTGTAAAGTACAGAGCACAGGCATTTGGGGCTGGATAATTCTTTGTTCTGAGGGGTTAGCATTCCTCCACCCCTCAGTAGTGATACTCAAAAACGTCTCCAGACTTTGATGCATGTCACGTGAAGGGCAAAATCATTCTCCAGTTGAGAATCACTGGTCTTCGATACATGATGACTTATTAAAACATAACCATTTTCACAGCCTAACTTCCATGTCATGCAGAAAGACAACAGTGGGATGGGGACTGTCAGAAAGGGCACCGATGGGGGACAGGAGAGGGAGGAGAGCACATGTATTGAGCACCTGCTCTATTCTTGGCTTGTGTGGCATCGGTCATCTTATCTAATACAAAACACCCTGTGCTTTCTCTTCCTAACTCAGAGCTTGCTCAAAACCTTGAGAGGTGATGATTTACACGGATGATGTTACTGAAAGCAAAACTCTGCAGAATAAAATAAAAATAAATATTTCTAGAACTTCCCATAGACATCGATATGTGTGTTTTTTACTCTCAGTGGACCAGCCACCTAACTGCCCACCCTTGGGAGTGAGCAGCACCACTTTCTCATGGTGGGTGCCTCACTGATCACTTCCTCGGCTACTCCTACCAGCTTAAAGCCATGTGGTCGTTCATGAGTGGAGACCCAAATGGACTCAAATGCATGGCCCAAACAGCACCTTCCCTAAGCTCCCAGGGAAGCAGGCATTTGGCCTGAGGAGCTGTTGTAAATGCTACCAGGTTACAGCTCTTTCTCAGTGACCTACCTGAAGAAAACAAGCCCCATAGCCCAGCCCAGGGGCGTGGGTTAAATCTTGGCTTGACTGCTGACCTCCCTGGGAGCCTTTAATGAGGGAAGGGAGGGACGGGAGTTTCTGGGCAGAATTGACGTTGGTCATTTTCTCTCCTGAGTCCCCAAGGGCTGGCTCACTGATGTCTACTACATTCAGCAAGGTCAGGTCCAAAAGCATCCCCAAAGAGAAGTCTTCTGTAGCCCTGTCAATTCAAAAAGGACCAGAGTGGCTGTTTGAACACATATAGTGGTATGGCGTTTTTACTAACTGGCCTTTTCTGATTCTGTTCTAATTTAATCACATCTTCCACTCTAATATCTGTTCAAATGTTTTATTTGGGTGGGGGTGGGGGTCCTTCATGTGCTGGTCACTATTCTACGTAGGGTTTCAATACTGACCAAGACACATACAATCCCCAGCCCTCTGGTGCTTTCTGGTAGAGGTGGGAGACAGACCAGCCACCTAGCAGAACACTTATGGCGGTCACTGGAGAAAACAACTGAAGCCAGTTTGTGGCTAGCTACTGCCCGGGGATAGGCACTACTTTGAGTCTGGAGTTGGGAAAGACATGGGGGTGGTGAGGGGTTGAGGCACAGGGAATACTAGTTGAGCAGAGCCCTGAAGGTGGTGGGAGGGGCTGGGCGGGGAGGTGGGAGGACCATAAGAGGCCAATTGTGCGCATTGGCACCCCCTGGAGAGTGGTGGGAAGGCAAGTCAGAGAGGGGTAGGTCACACTGGCCCCACCCCATGTGGCCACCAGGTTGGCACGACTCCTAGGACCAGAGCGTGCCCAGTGCTCCCACGGCCACTGCAGGGGAAGCATGGGCGGTGGGCCCACATGCAGACATGTAGATCCAGCAGCGGAAACAGGAGGAAGTTCTTTTCTAAGTCATGGCCCAAAGAAGAAAACCGGAAGCAAGGTTATTAGCTGAGAATAAGGATGTGGAAGGAGGTAGAGGAGGTCTGATGGGAGAGCCGGGAGTAGGAAGAAGTCCTTCAGGAGAAGAGAAAGAGTAAAGAGACGAGGAACCAGCAGCCTGAGGGGTCCACGGAGACGAGGGTGAGACCTATCCGCACAGCGGTGCGTGTTCCTTCAGCCGAGTCGCAGAGCAGGTAGGTGGAGCTGAGTAGTGCCCGTGAATATAAATGAGGATGGAGAGAAAGAAATGAAGAACCTGAAAGCGTGGGCAAAGGAGTTTTACAAAGAGAGATCATGGAATCTAAGCTGAGTAACTGGGAAAGAAGAGGCGGGGGTGACAGATGGTGGAAATTAGCAGGATCGATGCACTGTAGGTACTGGTGGAATCCAAGAATGGCTGGAGTTAGGGGAAGAGGGAGGGTTGACTAGAAAGAGGTGATGATTGGGGAATGGGAGGCTTGGAGAGAGAGTGGATTAAACCCTCAGTACTCAAAGTGTGCTCCCCAGATGGGCCAGCAGCATCAGCAGCACCTGGGGACTTTGTGTGACCTGCAGAATCCCAGACCTACTGAATCAGAACCTACACTGCGACAGGTGACCCGTGTCCACACTAAGCCTGGGGAAGAACCTTCCGTCTGAGCCAACTGAGTCAATCTCCACTTGCCCAGAAGCTGCAGGCACCCTATAAAAAGGGTAGGTTTCTGAGGTTAGGGACTTCCCTGGGGCTCTGCTTCTCATCCTCCACTTTCAACGGCTCATTTTGGCTTTTCGGGTTTCCATTCGGCTACCTCGCACCCTTGCTCAGTCCTGCCTTGCAGCCTTACAGTAGCGTTGGCAGGCTTTGGATTCCATTTACCAAAGAATGGGCTGTCTCGCCCGCATCCCTACCCTGTCTGTAGCAAACAGCACCCTCTCACTTCCTGAGACCAAGTTCCAGATACCCTCTCTGCTCTCCTTTGCCTTTGAGGGGGCAGCCAGATACTCAGGACCCTCCACCCGTCCTGCAGAGTTTCATGGACCCACAGAGATCTATGACTGGGCACCCATGCAAAATATACAGTATTGCTCACTGTAGCTTTTTTAAGGGTTTAGCTTCCTGCTGTAATAATTACCCAGGGT